ATAAGGAAATCAAAATCGGGACTGTTTTTTTTTTCACTTTGGTAGAAACTTACCCAGTTAATAACCAGGCAAATTTAAATTTTGTATATGCCTAGTTTATCCTGTAATTTTCATGCAAAATTTGAAGAGAGTTTGTCCAAAACTAACATTTGCAAAGAAATTATGAAATTTCAAGCGTACTTATTTTTGTCATTCAAGGTCAAAGTTCATTAATTAGTATTACCCATTTTCTCTATCTATTTCATGCTATGATTTTGGTTTTATTTTATGACATGCAGGCCATTCAAAGAGCTTTCAAATGATGTACAACTTGGCATTGTAGGTGCTATACTTTTGGAGATACAAGTATTTATTTTAAAGTTTGTCAAATGTTCGTTGACCTGCATCTCAAAAACTAACGAGCCAAATAAAAAAAAAAAATCCATTCCAGGGTTTCTCATATACATGTACATGTAGGCCAATCATCACACCAAATATCGGTTCAATCTGTGAGGGGCAGGGGTGAAAGGTCAAGTTGAATTCACATGATATGTCCCCTGATCGACACTAAAATTTGGGTGTACATATGGTCTGCATTGGAATTTTTTTATCGATTTTCTTTTCTTATTTTACAGTTGATCATTTTTTTCATTAACATATTCATCCATTTGAAGTAACAAACATGTTCCAGCGACACAAGTCTGAAACGATATTCAACCTTTTGTGATCAACTGCCATTATCTTTTTAGATTATAAAGTAGGCGTTCGAACGTTTTACCATATTGACTTTTTCAGTCAAGTTCAAATGTCATGTACATGTATGTGCAAGCGTACGTATAGGCATGCTGCCAATATGAAATATAATCTTTGAAATTTGACCTTTATTCTGGTGCTTGAGTTATACATGTATTGTTACTTTATCTGGTCTCAAAAGGCCAAAACAGCTGTTTATTCTGAATTCTGAATTTCAAACAGTTGTTTACTTTTACACGGTTAGTTTTGATGCCAGCACATACCGTATTAAAGGTAGGGCAAATCACTTGTCATTTGCGCAATTTTTTTTTCGTTTGAAGAAACAAAAGTACTCAAAATCTAAAGACGGTTGCTTAACAACAAACCTGATGAAGTTTTAGCTCTGTGAATGCTGTATATTCCAACAAAACAATATTCTAGGAACTCGATTTCAATTCAAAAGTTGCCGAGTCATGTTTTGAATTGCGCCTCAAATCAGCATCCGGGACACGTTCTCATTCAGCCGATTGCAGATACGTGATGTCACGCACTGAACTGACGAATTATAGCAACCATTGGCAACTGCGCGTGCGTGTGCGTCGATCGTGTCAACCCTTGCGTGCACCCATTCATGGCTTTGCCGAATTAAAAACGGAAATTTTCAAAAATGCATCGACGCGTCTTTGGAAATTATCTACTCTACCTCAAAGACTGTCAAGAGATTGTCATCGGATTGCATTTATATAGCACTAATGGGTTAGAGGCACAACTGTCAGGGTTGGCACAGTTGCGGAAAGTTCAATGAAAATTGTGGAAGTTAAAGGGAATGTACAACATTTGCTTTTGCTGTAATTTTCAGAAATAAATGGATTTGGAGGATTAGCATGTTATAGAAAATATTGTTTAACTGACTTGTTTCACGTTTTGGGCTTGTAGACGCTGGAAAAATCAAGAAAACCTATCATGTTCTTGTAGTCTGGTTCCCTGACCCCACTTAAAATGAAACAGAGCAATTAATACACTTTAGGAATTGTAGGCTCAAAGAATCAGCCTAGCAGGCTTGTACCCCTTCACAGGTGTGTAATCAATTGCAAAGAAAAGTCAGAATAACTAAATATGAAAACTTAGGGACAGTTTTTGAAAAAAAAGCCAGTTTTCTCCAACGCTGGTCGACCGACCAGCGTTGGGAAAATACAGTTTTTCTTGAAAATGTCAGCACACCAGGAGCCACGATTTTAAAGGATGATTTGGACTGTCAGTCCCTAACAATTCAGTAAGGTATTTCGTGATAATTTGATCATTTTGTTTTTTGATGTTTGCAAATGTTGTATATTCCCTTTAAAGCTATCGTGGAAAGTAATGGAATGTTGGGGTTTTTTCACAACGAGTCATGGAAAGTTGATATTCCGATGTAGAAAAGTCATGGAATCCTGCACAACCCATGATGATGTGTTATATTTGATTATATAACCGACATACAGATCCTTGTCATTTGATTGGGGGAACTCACATCATGTGACATTCGTTATTGCTCCCATTCACGCCGGGGTTCAAAAAGTCCCATTCGCCCATGGGGAATGGAAAATACTATTGAACGGTTAGGATCATACTTGTTCCATGACGCGGTATTTGTGTGCAAATGCATGCTGGTGTGCGCGTTCAGCATTGCGCGCAGCGCGTATTGTTCCAAAGAGCCAGCGCTACAGAGTTGGGTTCAAACATTTTCGAGAAGGGGTGGTTTGGAAGAGAGAATTACATTTTCCACCAATTTTGTATTGAAATAAAAGTTCAAATATATAAATGACAAGGATATGTCAGTTACCGTACATAAAATAATTATTGAGTGGCTGGAAATTGTGAAATAGGAGAATATTATTGCTCGGTAAAATCTGGACTTCTACAGTTCTCTCTCTTGAAATGGAAAAGTCCAGATTTTACCTTGCAATAATATTCTTCCCATTTCACTCTGAGCCACTCAATATTTGTATACTATGGCAGTCTTCCAGTTTGCATTCCAGTTTATTTCCTCTATATGCATACATGTACATGTATATGCTTATGCACCATAGTGATGCTTTTGTAGTGCTCATCAATGGTGTTGGGTCAAACTGGAAGGCCCATGAAAGGGGGTACATGTATATGGTGTTCTTTGCTGTATGACTTGCCAGTGTATTGTACATTTGGTAAATAGGCTCCGAATGCCAAAATATGAACTCGAGCATGAAAGGTCATTTCGATTCCCATAACTGAATCAAGTAAATGGAAAAGACCTTTTGGGGACTTGAATAACAGGGCTCGTATCAGGAGTTTGGATACTGTCGCGGTGTCTTTATCAACTGGCATTGTTGATGTCACTAGTGATGTGCATCGGGTTTGGGTTGATGAGGCCAAACCGACCCGAGACATTCGTTTCACAAACCGAATCAGAAACCGAACTGGACTACCTAAAACCGACGCGACCCGACCTGACAACAATTTCTAAAAAACGACCGAACAAATTTTTTTTAAAAAACGACCCGAAAAAAAAAAATGAATATCTGGCTTAGGCTTTTTGCGCCTGAACTGACCCGCTTCGCGTAAAAAAAATGTCGGCTTTCAATAACTGAATCATGCCGTGCGGCACTCACAACGTGGCCTACTGGTGGGCCTACATGTTATTGACCGATCGAAACAGACCACAAACCATTTCTAGTTGCACCGCGCAGTGACTCTGCATTAAATAGTGCACCATGTAAATTTCACTTCTGTTTCGGTTTATTTCGGGTTTTTGCAAAATGGCAATACCCGACCCGACCTGAAATCACAAATGCAAAACTGACCCAACCCGACTGAAATGATGGACAAACCAACTCGACCCGACCCGACTCGCTTTCAGGTCGGTTTCGGTTTCGGGCCGGGTTTGCACAACATTAGCCCTCACGTGACCTGTCACATGACCATGCTTGGAGGAGGCCGGTCGTACAGGGCAATTTAATGTAGGAGTGCACAAAGTCAAAAACAGGAAATTTGTTAATTTCTTCCAAAATACAAGCATCACAACAAGTGTGGTATTAATAAGATGGAATTTTGCGTCATGTTGTATTCAAAATATTCTCAAATGAGGCCATTTTCCACTTGTGAAAGCCCTTAACCCCCCCCCCTCCCACCCCAGTACAGAAGAAAACAAACAAACAAAACAGCCATAAAACAGTATCTTGTGTACATGTACGCACATTTAATATAAATCATTGGTTTATAACGCGACGTTGAATTCTCATCTTTGGAAGGATTGATTCTAAAAAAAGAAACCATCAAAATTGAAAGCACTGCGTTGCGCATTAAACGCATCAACTGCAGTCCTAATTTAAATCTCCCAAATAGTGGAAGATTTAAATTACACAATTCCAGGGGTTTAGATCGTGCAAGGCATGATGGGAACCAATATGGCGCAGCAAGATCGTACCCGTGGAAACGAGGTTGCTGATAAATATTCATTATTTGTTCAGGGTGACCCCAAAAAAATTGCAACCCTGTAAAATTTGCCTTTAAAAAAAAAAAGGGATCAGCACTTGGATTTTTATATTTTGGGTAAAAGATTAAAGCTGAGAGATTTTTCTTTCAAATACTGAACCAATCATGAAAATAGCACTTTGGGTTGCTGAGAAAATGTCAATTATGTAAACGTGGTCATTTTTTATCCTGTACACAAATACTTCAAACGGTGAAGCATTTTACTGTAAGCCTACTGTGCAATTATCCTTCATTTGTGAATGAAATCTGTAATATTTTGACATACACATATATTAATGATGCTGAAACGATTCAAAATAGGACTGCAAAGGATGAGATACCTGTTCAGGTGGAAAATAAAAGGTACTTCCATCAAATTCATGTGTACTCTTGTCATATTATGTGCCATGTTGTTTGCAAGGATTAGGACATGCACAAATAGGTACAGTGAATATCCCTTACTGTGGTATTTTTTTGTGTACTGGATGAAAAATGACTACTTTTACATAATTGACATTTTCTCAGCAACCCAAAGTGCTATTTTCATGATTTTTTTTCAGTTTTTGAAAGGAAAATCTCTCAGCTTTAATCTGAAACCCAAAACATAAAAATACACCGATATCTTTTTTTAAAAAGACAAGTGTTTCAGGGTTGCATTTGTTTTTGGTCACCCTGTATACTAGCCTTGGTTTCAAACAAAGATAGTCCAAGTATGATTCTCAAACTTAGAACAACGAGTGGCAAACACTACTCGGGAGTATTCTAGTACTCGCGTTACTCGCCCAGCACTAGTGTGTACATGTACTTCACAGTGTCAAACTTCACAGAGTTTGTGCAAAACCATTTGTTTATTCTACACAACTAGCCATGTCTGTCATCACACTAGGGGCAAGTGCGAGTAAGCTCAGGGGAGGCAATCAAACGCCCTCAACGTGATAAACGTAGTAAGATAGCGCAGGATTTCTACAATTTGCCAGGCCTCTACGTTTGGAATTGTACCCCTTCAACATTTTTCCCTTTTTAATGTTAATATTTTTCCCATTTGACTCTTTTCATCTGCCAAACTATGACATTGGTAGCCACTTCTCCTATCCAATTTAAATTATTTTAATCAAAAGTTAAATGAAATCATTAATATGAAATTTAAATTAAATCATAGATGCAATCCCTCTGGAAGACTTTTTTCATAATGCCTGAAGCAACTACTTACTTATTTCCTGGGTAAGTTCAACGCAGATCAAGAAAGTTCAAGAAAGCAGATTGGAGTGGGTTCAAAATCTTCGCTTTGCAAACTTGAAAAAGCGTCAGCAACATTTGGAGGTGTAATCTGTCGCGCGTTCAAATGCACATAAACATGAAAATCTGTTTTGGTTTGACCTCACATTGCTGTGTACATGTAAACTACAGACTGCCCTACAGATCATGTTCAGTCATGATTTATATTGTTATTTTTGTGAACTTAGCATTTTGCTACCTAAATCAACAACTTCTGCTTGCTGGTGATATTGAACGCAACCCTGGCCCCCGCACACCTAAGTATCCCTGCGGAGAGTGTACCAGGGCCTGCACCAGCTACAAAGGTGCTAAGGCCAGCATCCTGTGCGAATCATGTGACGTGTGGTTTCATTCAGACTGCGTGGGCCTAACAGACTCTGCCCTCGATACCCTTGGGCGCAGTGATCTCCCCTGGGAGTGTTATCGCTGTGGTTTACCCAACTTTTCATCTGGGCTTTTTGACTCAACAATATTAGATGAGTCCAATTACAGCGCCACAAATTCTGAGACCCACTCTTCAACGAGTTCCACCAGTTCTCACCATCCAGGTTCCCCTCTCGCCAAATCATCACCCAACAAAAGAAATAGCAACCAAACTCTCAAGAATCTCCGCCTACTTAAAGTGAACTTCCAGAGCATTTTTTCAAAGCGTGCAGAATTCTGGAGTGTTCTTGACGCTACCAAGCCAGATGTTGTTTTTGGGTGCGAAACATGGCTGAAACCAAACATCGCCAATGGAGAAGTTTTCCCACCTGGATATGACATTTATCGTTGTGATCGCAGGGACGGTTACGGAGATGTACTTCTTGGCGTCCACAACAGCCTTAATAGCCACCTGATTACCATCAAGTCAGATGCAGAGATTGTCGCTGCGAAGATCATCAACGATAACCAGACCATTGTACTAGCATCTGTGTACAGACCTCCCAAAAATGACCTCAAGTATATGGAGGATCTCAATAGCGCCATCAGTCATCTGTGCCAAAGTAACCCAGGTGCAGCAGTTTGGATTGCTGGTGATATAAACCTACCAGATATCACCTGGGAAACCTACAGTGTCGCTTCCCATCAATACACACTGGCTATAAATGATTCCTTCTTGAACCTACTTGATACAGCTGGCCTTGAGCAAATGGTCAATTTTCCTACCAGAGGGGACAACACTCTGGACATCATCTTGATGACCTAGGCCTAGGCACCAGCAACCATCCTGAAATGGAAAACATCACTGTGAGCGAGAATGGAGTGATCAAACTCCTAAAAAATCTCAAGCCCTTCACTGCCTCTGGACCAGATGGGATACCTACCATGCTGCTAAAACAGACGGCTGTGGAGATTGCTCCTGCAGCAACGTTACTTTTCTAGGCTTCAATCGACCAAGGGAGGGTACCATCACAATGGAAGATAGCGCAAGTAGTCCCATTGTTCAAAAAGGGAAGTCGTTCTGATGCCGCCAACTACAGACCGATTTCTCTAACATCTGTACTCTGCAAACTGTGCGAGCACATCATTCATTGTGCTGTGATCCAACACCTCACCGACAACAACATCCTGTCAGATGCGCAGCACGGTTTCCGCAAATACAGATCCTGCGAAATGCAACTGATCTGTATGCTGGATGACCTCACCAAGGGACTGGACAGCAAGTCACAAATTGACGTGGTCCGGCTCGATTACGAGAAAGCATTCGATAAAGTGCCACATCGACATCTACTGAAGAAAGTCCAGCACTATGGAGTTAGAGGTGCAACACTGGCATGGATATCAGATTTCCTCCACTCTCGTTCCCAATCTGTGCTCGTTAATGGGCAGAAGAGTAGTGAATCCATCGTCTCATCCGGGGTTCCACAGGGGAGTGTCCTTGGTCCCCTACTTTTCCTAATCTACATCAACGACCTGCCTGAATGCATCAGAGGCTCAACAACTACATGTAGATTGTTTGCCGATGACAGTGTTTTGTATAAACATACATGTATCACCTCAACTGATGACACAGCTAGCCTCCAGCAAGATCTAGACGCCCTCCAGGACTGGGAAGCTAAATGGCTGATGCACTTTAATGCTACAAAGTGCCAGGTTGTCCAAGTCACCCACAAGCGGAAGCCCTTCCCTGCCTCATACACCATCCATGGTCATGTCTTGGGGGTCTCCACCTCTGCCAGATACCTGGGAGTCCACATAGATTCCAGGCTGAGCTTCAATACTCATATCGACAACATCACCAGGAAAGCGACCGGCACCAAGGCCTTCTTCTCCTGTAATCTGAGCCACAGCAGCCAGAAAGTCAAAGAAGCTGTCTACACCACCTTCATTCGTCCATCTGTCGAATTTGCAGCAGCTTCATGGGATCCACATACCCAACGGAATACCAAGAAGCTTGAGCAAGTCCAACGAAGTTCGGCTCGTTTCGTCATGGGCGATTATAGAAGAACCAGCAGTGTTACATCCATGTTAGAACATCTTGACTGGCCCTCACTACAGGAACGTCGTCACCAAAATCGCCTGCAGATGATGTACAAGATCAGATACAACTTGGTCGACATCCCTTGGAACAACTACCTTACTCAATTATCGACATCTACCAGAGGACACAGTTCCAGATTCACTATCCCACACACCAGATCTTCAGTGTATGCTAGCTCGTACTTCCCACGTACCATCCGAGACTGGAACAACCTCCCAGTTGATCCTGCTGCATACCCATCCCTCAACGCCTTCAAGTCTGCGCTGAGGGACATCCGCTCGGATTAATCGCACCACCAGATTTTTACTTGCACCTGTACATATAGCACTGTACCTGAGTACAAATTCCTGTTGTCTTTAGACAATGCATGCGCCCAACGCAGTGCGTTTATCTTCAACATATGAAGGCAGCACTAAGAAGGAAGAAGAAGAAGCTTTGAGGATTATTTTCAGACTGAAGTTACAAGAGGGCATTTGTGTACTTTATATGGACCCCTTTTGGTAGAATATATTATGAGATGGTGATTGTGTGATTGTGAACTACGGGACCCTATTTTTTTTGGGGGGGGGTGTCAGTTTAGAGTGGAGAGTGATCATTCCAAAATGAATTTTGCAATCTAAAGCAAACTTTTCTTAAGAAATAATTCTAATGACCTAGCTCTACTGAGTGGAGTGCTGGAACTTTGGTACCCTCCGTACTAGTACGGAGGAGTGCTTGAACTTCGGTACCCCCCGCACTAGTACGGAGGAGTGCTTGAACTTCGGTACCCCCCGCACTAGTACAGAGGGTACCGAAGTTCCAGCGCTCCATTCAGTAGAGCTAGTACTAATGCCCCTTTTTAATGGGCCTAAGCTTGAACAGTATCTGTCGGTACAAAGGCAATTTTCTTATGCATTTTACTGTTTTACATGATTCCATGCAAATAAACGCGATTTTGTACATTCACTGTGTGATCACCATCTTTTTATTTTCGAGTTGCGTTCAGATGACGTCTACATCGTCAGTTTACACCAAAATTTCCCTCCAAAAATAAAAACCTTGTCTCCCAAACATGACACTCCTGTTGGTTTTACTTCGCGTACTAATTTAGTGAGTCCAATAACCTAATAGTGGATTTTTATGCTCTTTTGGAACAGGGCCCTTAACTACACAATTGTCGAAGACAGCTTTGTTTTACAAAGCCATTAGGCCTAATTAATCAATTTGTATATATTTCACCAGGCCCACTTGTCTACAACTCAACATTTTGATGTGAGTTGCACATTGCTTAGCCCCATAAATGTGGCTCAAATGCTGGTTTTCCTCCATATTGTGAGCCACACGATAGCGATCGCGCATGTGGGGAAAAGTTGTCTTTAAGGAAATCAAAATCGGGACTGGTTTTTTTCACTTTGGTAGAAACTTACCCAGTTAATAACCAGGCAAATTTAAATTCTGTATATCTCTAGATGCCTAGTTTATCCTGTAAGTTTCATGCAAAATTTGAAGAGAGTTTGTCCAAAACTAACATTTACAAAACAATTATGAAATTTCAAGCGTACTTATTTTTGTAATTCAAGGTCAAAGGTCATTCATTACGCATTTTCTCTATGTACTTCATGCTATTATTTTGGTTTTATTTTATGACATGCAGGCCATTCAAAGAGCTTTCAAATGATGTACAACTTGAACTTGGCATTGTAGGTGCTATAGGCCTACTTTTGGAGATACAAGTATTTAATTTAAAGTTCGTCAAATGTTCGTTGACCTGCATCTCAAAAACTAACGAGCCAAATTAAAAAAAAAAAAAATCCATTCCAGGGTTTCTCATAGTTGTAGGCCAACCATCACACCAAATATCGGTTCAATCTGTAAGGGTCAGGGGTGAAAAATCAAGTTGAATTCACATGGAATGTCCCCTGATCGACACTAAAATTTGGGTGTACATATGGTCTGCATTGTAATTTTTTTATCGTTTTTCTTTTCTTATTTTACAGTTGATCATTTTTTTCATTAAAATATTCATCCATTTTGTACTGTGTTTTTGAAGTAACAAAAAAAATTACACCAACACAAGTCTGAAATGAAATTCAACCACTTGTAATCAACTGCCTTGATCTTTTTAGATTATAAAGAAGGCATTTAAACGTTTGATCATATTGACTTTTTCAGTCAAGTTCAAATACCATGTACATCAGAAGCGTACACATAGGCATGCTGCCAATATAAAATATGATCCTTGAAATTTGACCTTTATTCTGGTGCTTGAGTTATACATGTATTGTTACTTTATCTGGTCTCAAAAGGCCAAAACAGTCTTTTTTCTGAATTCTGAATTTCAAACGGTTGCTTATTTTTGCACTGTTAGTTTTGATGCCAGCACGTTTTAAAGGTAGGTCATTTGTCATTTGTGCAATTTTTTTTCGTTTGAAGCAACAAAAGTGCTCAAAATCTAAAGATGGTTGCTTAACAACTAACCTGATGAAATTTCAGCTCAGTGAATGCTGTGTATTCCAACAAAACAATATTCTAGGATCTCGATTTCAATTCAGAAGTTGCCGAATCATGTGAATTGTGCCTCAAATCAGCATCCGGGACACGTTCTCATTCAGCCGATTGCAGCTACCTGATGTCACGCACTGAACTGACGAATTATAGCAACTGCGTGTGCGTCGATCGTGTCAACCCTTGCGTGCACCCATTCATGGCTTTGCCGAATTAAAAACGGAAATTTCCAAAAATGCATCTTTAGACGCATCTTTGGAAATTATCTACTCTACCTAAAGACTATCAAGAGATTGTCATCGGATTGCATTTATATAGCACTAATGGGTTAGAGGCACAACTGTCAGGGTTGGCACAGTTGTGGAAAGTTCAATGAAAATTCTGGAAGTTAAAGCTATCGTGGAAAGTAATGGAATGTTGGGGTTTTTCACAATGAGTCATGGAAAGTTGATATTCCGATGTAGAAAAGTCATGGAATCCTGCACAACCCATGATGATGTGTTATATTTGATTATATAACCGACATACAGATGCTTGTCATTTTATTGGTGGAACTCACATCATGTGACATTCGTTATTGCTCCCATTCACGCCGGGGTTCAAAAAGTCCCATTCGCCCATGGGGAATGGGAAATACTATTGAACGGTTAGGATCATACTTGTTCCATGACGCGGTATTTGTGTGCAAATGCATGCTGGTGTGCGCGTTCAGCATTGCGCGCAGCGCGTATTGTTCCAAAGAGACAGCACTACAGAGTTGGGTTCAAACATTTTCGAGAAGGGGTGGTTTGGAAGAGAGAAATACATTTTCCACCAATTTTGCATTTAAATAAAAGTTCAAATATATCAAGTGACAAGGATCTATATGTCAGTTACATAAAACAAATATTGAGTGGCTTGAAATTGTGAAATGGGAGGAATATTATCGCTCGGTAAAATCTGGACTTCTACAGTTCACTCGGCTTCACCTCTTGAAATGGAAAAGTCCAGATTTTACCTTGCGATAATATTCTTCCCATTTCACTCTGAGCCACTCAATATTTGTATACTATGGCAGTCTTCCAGTTTGCATTCCAGTTTATTTCCTCTTTATGCATACATGTATATGCTTATGCACCATAGTGATGCTTTTGTAGTGCTCATCAATGGTGATGGGTCAAACTGGAGGGCCCATGAAAGGGGGTACATGTATATGGTGTTCTTTGCTGTATGACTTGCCAGTGTATTGTACATTTGGTAAATAGGCTCCGAATGCCAAAATATGAACTCGAGCATGAAAGGTCATTTCGATTCCAATAACTGAATCAAGTAAATGGAAAAGACCTTTTGGGGACTTGAATAACAGGGCTCGTATCAGGAGTTTGGATACTGTCGCGGTGTCTTTATCAACTGGCATTGTTGGCCCTCACTAGTGATGTGCATCGGGTTTGGGTTGACGAGGCCAAACCGACCCGAGACATTCGTTTCACAAACCGAATCTGAACCGAAACCGAACTGGACTACCTAAAACCGACGCGACCCGACCTGATAACAATTTTTAAAAAACGACCCGAACAAATTAAAAAAAAAAAACGACCTGAAAAAAAAAACACGAATATCTGGCTTAGGCTTTTTGCATCTGAACTGACCCACTTTGCGTAAAAAAAATATCGGCTTAGAGTAACTGAATCATGCCGTGCGGCACTCACAACGTGGCCTACTGGTGGGCCTATACATGTTATTGACCGATCGAAACAGACCACAAACCATTTCTAGTTGCACCGCGCAGTGACTCTGCATTAAATAGTGCACCATGTAAATTTCACTTCTGTTTCGGTTTATTTCGGGTTTTTGCAAAATGGCAATACCCGACCCGACCTCAGGCTGAAATCACAAATGCAAAACTGACCCAACCCGACTGAAATGATGGACAAACCGACTCGACTCGACCCGACCCGACTCGCTTTCAGGTCGGTTTCGGTTTCGGGCCGGGTTTGCACATTAGCCCTCATGTGACCTGTCACATGACCATGCTTGGAGGAGGCCGGTCTTATACAGGGCAATTTAATGTAGGAGTGCACAAAGTCAAAAACAGGAAATTTGTTAATTTCTTCCAAAATACAAGCATCACAACAACAAGTGTGGTATTAATAAGATGAAATTTTGCGTCGTGTGGTATTCAAAATATTCTCAAATGAGGCCATTTTCCACTTGTGAAAGCCGTTAACCCCCCCCCCCCCCCAGTACAGAAGAAAACAAACAAACAAAACAGTCATAAAACAGTATCTTGCGAACATGTACGCACATTTAATATAAATCATTGGTTTATAACGCGACGTTGAATTCTCATCTTTGGAAGGATTGCTTCTAAAAAAGAAACCATCAAAATTGAAAGCACTGCGTTGCGCATTAAACGCATCAACTGCAGTCCTAATTTAAATCTCCCAAATAGTGGAAGATTTAAATTACACAATTCCAGGGGTGTAGATCGTGCAAGGCATGATGGGAACCAATATGGCGCAGCAAGATCGTACCCATGGAAACGAGGTTGCTGATAAATATTCATTATTTGTACAGGGTGACCCCAAAAAATTGCAACCCTGTAACATTTGCCTTTAAAAAAAAAAGGGATCAGCACTTGGATTTTTATATTTTGGGTAAAAGATTAAAGCTGAGAGATTTTTCTTTCAAATACATGAAATACTGAACCAATCATGAAAATAGCACTTTGGGTGCTGAGAAAATGTCAATTATGTAAACATGGTCATTTTTTATCCTGTACACAAATACTTCAAACGGTGAAGAATTTTACTGTAAGCCTACTGTGCAATTATCCTTCATTTGTGAATGAAATCTGTAATATTTTGACATACACATATATTAATGATGCTGAAACGGTTTAAAATAGGACTAAAAAGGATTACATGTAGATACCTGTTCAGGTGGAAAATAAAAGGTATTTCCATCAAATTCATTTGTAATCTTGTCATATTATGTGCCGTGGTGTTCGTAAGGATTAGGACATGCACAAATAGGTACAGTGAAAATCCCTTACTGTGGTATTTTTTGGGGTAGGCCTATAGGATGAAAAATGACTACGTTTACACATGGAGGAATAAGAACACATTTCCTCCATGGTTTACATAATTGACATTTTCTCAGCAACCCAAAGTGCTATTTTCATGATTTTTTTCAGTAATTAAAAAGAAAAGCTCTCAGCTTTAATCTGATTTCCAAAACATAAAAAACACAGATCCCTTTTTTTAAAAAGACGAATATTTGAGGGTTGCATTTTTTTTGGGGGGGGGTCAACCTGTATACTAGCCTTGGTTCAAACGAAGGTAGTCCAAGCATGATTCTCGCTTGAACTTGCTTAATCATTGCGGAGCTTTCTTCTAATTTCTTTTATTTTATTGTTTTGTGGTTCTTATTTAGTACCAAAATGGTCTACCGAGTTGGTGTGGTTGGAGCAGGGGTCATCGGACTGTCAACGGCTTACAACATTAAAGACAGAATCCCTGATGCCGAGGTGACGATAGTTGCTGATAGGTTCTCACCGAACACTACGGGCGATGGCACCGGAGGGCTGTGGATGCCTTACATGTTGGGAAGCACTCCTACCGAATCAGTCATGTTCGTATTCAGATTAGGAAGTTATGACACATTTCCCTTAACAACACCTCGTTCACCGATTCATTTCATTAAGCCCCAGTCACACATTCACAGTTGGAGAGCCCTACGAATATCCACGGTTTACCAAGAATCAATCAATCAAGATGAACCGTTGAAAACTGCACTACGGTTTCAGGACGGATAGCCACGACTGTCATGCAGTTTCTCTACGAATACACCACGGTTTGTCAAGAACATGAAGAATATGGACGGATTGGTGAAGAATATTGACAGTATTACTAAGAATAATGATGTTAACGCCACGGTTGTCTGCAATTGGGTCACGTATGACCAAGGTTCTCCTACCAGTAAAGCGTGGATATTCGTAGTACAACCTTAGCAGAACCCTAGTACATCCGGGCATATCCGTAGGACATTCGTAGCGAATTCATAGAGATTTCTACCACGAATGAGCTACGAATCTCCAAGAATATGCACGAATAGCCACGAACAACACTACGAATAAGTACGGTTGTCCTACGGATGTCCCACGGTTGCACTACAGATTAATTTTCATGACGGTTCACCACGGAAGTTATGAACAGTTTCAAACTTCCGTAGCCCCTCCACGAATACCCAAGGAAGATGACGGATAACCACGGATGTACTAAGGATGAATCCGGTACTCCCACGGTTTATTACAAATTTCAAACCGTGGATATCCGTAGCTCTCCAAACCGTGAATGTGTGACTTGGGCTTTAGGCAAGAGTGCATCACATGGTATGCAAATTATGACTTGTTCGAGTGGTGTGGTAAAACGAGCCTCCTGAGGTGATCTATGAAACATTCTGTTTTCCCGAGGCTAGCCCAGTGAAATAGAACGATTCGTGGATCACAGAGGGAGGCTATTACTACACCATGAGTTAAAGGGAATATGGAACATTTGCAAACATCGAAAAATAAAACTACCAAGTTTTTACAAAATACCTTACTCGGATGTTGGTAAATGACAGTCTAAAGCATCCTGTAAAATTATGGCACCTGGTGTGAAGTCGTTTTCAAGAAAATGGTATTTTTGTATAAATTTCCAACGGTGGTCGGCCGACCACCGTTGGAAAAACCTAACTATTTTTCAACTACTGCTCCAAATTCACCATTGTTTTTTTTTTTCAATTTTTTTTTTTTTTTCAATTTTTTTTCAATTTTGTTTGCTTTTGGTTACATGTTCATGAACGGGTGCAGGCCAGCTAGACTGGTTCCCTTACCTTACAATTTTCCGGCATCTATAAATTGATCCATATTATCTTTAGTGGAGTCAGGGAACCAGGCTACTCCACCATTTGTGATTTTCTTGGTTTTTCCAGCATTTTCAAACACAAAACTTTAAACATGTCAGTGTAACAATATTTGATCTATTATAGTAACCCTTCAAATGGTTCATTTCTGAAAATTACAGCAAAAGCCAATGATGTACATTCCCTTAAAAAAATCCTGGCTCCAGACCCAGATCCGGATTACTTCCAAAATCTAATCGATTTGTACTTGTACCAAGGGCAACCCCTAAAAAAATGTTCATGCAAATCCGTCCATAACTTTTAAGTTATCTTGTTAAAAGACAAACCAACCAACCAACAAACTTACCAAATCCGATGAAAACATAACCTCCTTGGCGGAGGTAATTAGTTGAAAATTTACTGCCCCTTCATGAAATGTTTTAAACCAACTCTGTAACGCGTGGTAACAATACGCACAAGGCACTCACCCATATGAATGTGCACGCAGACCTCCATGTGCTATGTTGCTAAGAATAATTCCTTGACATGCGATAATGATGAATAATTCAATGACATGCGATCAATGACCCAACAATCAGATGACGGGGATTTGCTCAGGCGTTGTACAGATTGTCCAAATTGTTCTTGTTACAAAATCGGTTCTTTTCAGAACCACATGTGTACAAACCTCACATCTTTTGCTGGCCATATGTTGTGTCCTCGGGCAAGCCACTTCACCCACACTTGCCTCTCTCCACCCAGGAGTATAAATGGGTACCGGCATTAGCTGGGGAGCAACCTGCGATGGACTAGCATCCCATCCAGGGTGAATCAAAACATTCCCAGTTATCCATGCTGCTGAACCGTAGATCAACGCCGGCCCTTTTTTTAACTGTGACGTGTCTTAGCATATCATGAGATCAGTTCCTCGCATAGAGCTATATTAAATTACTAGAGCGCTAACTCGATGTACAAAGTAATGCCTGATGGGCGCATCCATGTTTGTGCACAAACCTATGGAAAACTCGAAATTTTGTACGGCTTTTGTACAGCTATTTGCATATCTGCGTTTGTATTCCATACCAGTGCGTCATCGAAGCCGATACGCCCAAAACCGAAATGCACGATCAGCAAATGAGCGTTTCATTTTGCTCCACGCAAACAGCGCAATGCGTGCGCGTCCCTCCGCTGCAGATGCTTTTCGCCGTGACGCTTTTTGAACCGTCATGACGCGCTTAAGTTGTTTGCGTACCTTCTACTTGCGCGTTGCATTTAGAGTGCACTTTTAAAATTCAATCCATCTATTTTGATTGTGTTCTACAAAAACGCACATAAAATCAAAATGTCTGCGCCCAGAGCGGCTTCAAAGCGTCTCCACGTGCAAGAATGAGGAGTTAGCGCTCTAGTAATTTAATATAGCTCTATGGTTCCTCGTCACTTCACTCTTTGTTTTCTCCCTTCACGTTGTAGGAAGTGGGGCAAACGTACGTGGGATCACCTCATAAAGATTTTGCGCTCCCCAGAGGCTGATGCAGCTGGAGTTTCTATACATTCTGGTCACATCCTGTACGAACAGAAACCGGAGCAGGTATGCACACAAACATCTCATGCATTTACAAATTACCATACAGAGTCCATTGTACAGGTTGAGTAAAAAAAAGCGAAACCCATATGGCGGGACTATTGTTTTAGTGAAGTTCTGCATATAGCACTTTCAAAATCTAGGATATGAAAGCCCAATTCATAAGCTTTTTTTAACTACAAGAATCATTCAAAACACTCATGTTCTTTTCAAGTTACGGAATTTTAAACACAACCACAGTTTTAAAGTTCTGTCCACAAATCACAAAAAAAGGTGTGCGTTCTTTCAGCAAAATGAAAACAATTCACCCACAGGCCCTATGTGATTTGTTTTCGTTTTGCTGAAAGAACACTTACCTTCTTGTGATCCGTGGACAGAACTGTAAAACGGTGGTTGTGTTTAAAATTCGTAACTTGAAAAGTACATGAGTGATTTGAGTGATTCTTGTACTCAAAGAAAGCTTGTGAATTGGGCTTTCATAGCCTAGATTTTAAAAGTGCTGCAGGCAGAACTTCACTAAAACAATGGTCCTGACATTTGGGTTTCGTATTTTTTGACTCTGTATTTTGCCTTTAAGTTGGGAGCAGTGGTGAAGTTTGGGTGCAACAATTCCATGAGAATTCTTTGTTCTTTTGCCCATGCCCAGGATCCATTTTGGAAAGACATGGTCTTCCACTTCAAACATTTCACCCAGCGTGAGTTGGACATCTTGTTTCCGGGTGTTAAGTAAGTGTCTTGTCATGCAAACATGCCAACATGCAAACAAAACTGTTTCAAAGTGTTTCTAAGACTTACTACCAGATTATCAGCAGTGATGTAGTCAAGACCTTTTCTTTGAATTGACGTTTGTTTTCAAGTTACAATTCATTTGGGTTATCTTAAAGGTAGAGTAGATCATTTGCAGCTATCCAAAAAGTAACTGACAAATTATTGTTGAAAAACTTACTTGGTTTAAAGATAGTAATGGCACTAAACTCCCTGTGAAATTAGTCCTTCTGTCATGCTGTCATTTAGAAGAAAACAGCAAAAGAAAGTCGTTTCCAAAGATGCGTCTAAAGACACATTTTTGGAAATTTCCGTTGGTAATTCGTGTTTAATTTGGCGAGTGGTGCACGCAAGCATTGACACGATTGCACACACTCGCGCAGTTGTTACAAATCGTTGGTTCCGTACGTGACAGCGAGTAGCTGCAATAGGCTGAACGAGAAGGTGTCCTGGACGCTGATTTCCAGCGTAATTCAAAACACGACTCTGCAACTTTTGCATTAAAATCGAGATCCTAGAATATTATTTTCTCAGAATAGTGAGCATTATATACCTATCTTTTCTTGTCTCCCCAAGATTCGGTGTACATGCAACTATGATGTTCTGTTTGTGTCTACGATACCTCCCATGGCTTATGCAAAGGTATGTGTAGTCCGAAAATTTGGGACTCTCAATACTGTGTATGAGAGTCCCAAAACTTAAGGTATCCATATCGTGCAAATGTTTGTGCTGCATAGTAACACCAGTGTGAATCAAATTTGCGAACTTCTTACTCACTACAGTTTCTTCAATAATCCCCGAAACTTTTGCCTCGCAAAGTTGCTGTTGTGAGCATTGCATCACCAAAAATTCAGCTTTTAATTCTAACTTTGCAGAGAGTTATCGAAATCCATACGTGAGACATCACGTTGATGTGTACTGTAATGCATTGTGCAAAAAGACTCCTCAGCTATAACATTTTCATCGTGTAGATAAAACAGCGCCCTCTTGTTGATCTGAGTGAATGCAAAATGTTTCATTTTTTAACAGAGGGCGCTATGTTCATTTGGCCATCAATTAAAAAACAAGTAAGCTGCAAGGCTCTACCTACACCTACCCAGAATACATTTGGAATCACACACATATTTCCAGAGCATGGAGATTGACGTGGATAGTTTTTGAACTGCCAAAATCTTGCCTTAAAATTGGATTTAAGGTCTCAAATTTCGCAGGTGACATGCTTGCAACTATATCATTTTGATGTATGTGTTGTGTGTGGGCATTAATTAGCCTAAAGGCGAGTAAAAAAACGTCAGTAGTAATTTTGCACGTTTTTATGCACTCACGGTCCCAGTCTGAGATATGTGGTGATGCACATAAACACTGCAAAAAGAAAGTCCACACTCATTGGAGGGGTCATAATTTTGAATCTGATCGTCTTATGATAACGTCATTTATATAGACCTTTGGAGAATGTTGTTAGCTACAGTTAGCGTTGATGTATCCCACTGGATATTTTGCTGACTAAACCTATGGAGATGGAGATGGAGATGGAGACATTTTGATACTCTGTTTGCTACCAAAGACTATAAACTGTCCAACATTGACAACTGTTTATGAAAAATGATGCCGTTTGAAAAGTTTCAAATTTAAAGAGTATGCGAGTGGAACTTGCTGCTTGACAATGTCACACTGCCCGAAAAGAACGTTCCCCAAAGGTCTATATAAATGACGTCATCGTAAGACGATCAAAATTATGACCCCTCCAATGAGCGTGGACTTTCTTTTGTTGCGGTGTTTACTTTGTTGGCAGGCAATATATTCATTAATACCGGAGTCTTATATAGCACACGTATCTACCAACAATTTGGAACTCAAGGCGCTGGTAATTATGTGTATTATTAAAGACAGGTAAATGAAGTTTATGAGAAATATGAGACCCATTATGTAGCACCTTATAGGGGTTTACTAGGTGCTGCGGCGCATATTGCAGCCACTGCCAGAAACACAGGGACAAACCCCTTCTCTTAGCGATAAGTGCACTGGGTTCTTTAATGTGCATTACACAACACCTACGGCTTTACGTCCCATCCGAAGGACGAAGCACTAATGGTAAAGTGCCTTGCTCAAGAGCACAAGCACCATGCTCCCATGTTCAGGATTCGAACCCATGTACCACGGCAAACGAGCGGAACACCGTAACCATTGGACAACAGCACCCCAATGGTTTTATCATAATTTAGTAATTTAAATAAATACAATTTATCTATAAAATACATGTAGGTAACATCATTTGTAGATTTTTTTGGGGACATTTAGTTTTTTACTAATTGCAGAAAGAAGAGCGTGAGACCAAAAGTGAATTGAGCGAACTTTTTGATCAACAGGTTTATAAATAAATTGATCTGTGATTTGCTGCACAGGTACAAGGCAATCGGAGGAAGGGTGATGAAGCAGCGTCTGTCTTCCCTAGATGAGGTAGATTTCTTTATTTGTTTATTTCTTTATTTGGGCACGTGTGGTCTAGCGGTGGAGCACAGGATTCATGATCGTGAGGTTGTGGGTTCGAGCCCCGCCGTGGCCATGCGTGTTGTGCCCTTGAGTAAGGCGCTTTACCTCAATTACTTCTCTCAACCCAGGTGTTAAATGGGTACCGGTATTATTCAATGCTGGGAAGGTAACAGACTCGCTGTAGAGGTGTGGCGATCCCCCCACAGCAGCATTTCATGGACTCGAGTCTGGCCCAATCGCCTCGAAGGAGGATGGCCGATCCGTTCCTGTGAACACAGAATCATCCCACTTGTTTATTAGTTTTAATACACCAACTTTTATTAGTTGCATTCTCAATCGTAGTTTTAATTTAATAAAAAAGACCTTTCTACTCAGAACTTGACAATTAACACTTTCAGTGGTTAAAGGTAGAGTAGATCATTTGCAGCTATCCAAAAAGTAACTAACCTAATTATTTTCTTCCAGATTGCAGATTTGTATGATGTCATCGTCGCTTGTCCCGGCGTGAGAGCGCGACACTTGCTTGATGATAAAGAAGTCTACCCAATCAGAGGGCAGATTGTAACAGTAAGTGCAGATTTGATATTGATCATACAAAGTTTGATACATGAATGCTACCTCATTCCAGAATCATTTTGTAGATAAGTCTCGGATTTTTATATTCGTTAGCCAAAGATGTTCAGTCCGTGCTTTTAGACAAATTCATTAATTTTTTTCTAGTTTCGGACTTTCAACTTGTACCTGTATGTTTAACCTGCCCTGCAAGTAGAGTGTTCTCGGTCCCCTGCTGGAGAAACCAGTCTAACCTCTAAGAAATAAATTATTGTTGGGCTGAAAAGAATTCAGAATTCATTAACCCTAACCCCTTGGGTATGTTTACTAGGAAGTATCCTGAATCTGCCAAAATCCATCAATTTTGCCATGCAAAAACATTTTGGTGGCCAGTGAGTCCATCAGAATCCACCAGTTAGCCGGGAGTAAATCTGTTGAGATCCTGAATCCATCAAAGTCCCCCAACTGCTCAATATGGCGGTATCCTGATTCTATTAAAATCCTGCAGTACCACTAGGCTTCATGTCCTGAATCCATCAAAATCCCCCAACTGCTCAATATGGAGGTATCCTGAATCCACCAAAAAACCCCGAAATAGGGATGTGGATTTTGATGGATTCAGGAAGAATAGATTCAACATCTCACAACTGTTGCTTTTTCAGGAGTTCATTCAGTTAAGTAGAACGTGACAGTACTTCGGAAGCCTTTCAGATAAACCCATCATTTAACCTCAAATCCATTGTAATTCAACTTTTTTTCTGTGCCTCACCAAACATCTTGTAGTCTACGGATTGTAGCGTGTATCAGTTTTTAGTGGCTGTCACATTTATCTTGAGTGTGTTTGATTCCTTCCCCCACAATTACTCGTGCAGGAGCGACTGCGTTCGATTGAACCCCCACGTGACTTCTCGCGCTTACTCGCGCCTACTCGCGCCTAGCCCAAGTAACTGACCCGCTGAGCCAGTTATCCCACAATATAATGCGAAAACATGGCGGCTAAGTCTAACACCATGAACGCTGCGGTGGCAGGGGATTAAAAAAACGGTTCACTTCTTGATAGTACTGGACAGGAGGAAAGTTAACACCTTTGTAAAAGGTGAACGAAACTCATCGTCGCAGTTAGTCGCCCATTATCTGCAGTGGCACAATGCGCTCAGCGTAATTCTCAATGCGTGGTACTTTTGCACGCCATCCAAACATGTTGTGGACCACAACAAAAGCCCTCATAATCCTCACGGCACAAAAGCAAAAATTGTACATCATGGTGGCCTTCCATCAAAATTAGGGCAAACATCGTCAGCTTCCTTCGTCTTTCTTCCGAATGTTCCATGATTTCGTGCATTCGCTTCACGTTACGTGTGTACTAGGCCTGGGCGAGTAGTGGATTTTCCTACTCGAGTACTCCCAGAGAAATTACTTGCGAGTAGTCGAGTACTCGGGAGTAGTTTACTAAAATCCCATAAAAACAGGAAAAATGGCATAAACATTACTAAGAAGGAAGTTACTCTGAATAAACAGTGTGGAAGACGCACAACATTCTTCAGCACTGAGATGTCCTTACTTTGCAAAATGTTGGCTCACTTTACTTGAAAACTTATTTGTTGAGAGTGCTAGTGGAATCCAAAAGAAACAGATGGCGGTAGTGATTCTTATATTTTGAGGGACGTATTAAGTCAAAAGACAAGTTTAGCGCAGAATCAGTGCTTGTATTGCCACTCGTGAGTACCTACTTCTACTCGCGCCTGGACGAGTACTCGAGTAGATGAAAAACCATGTTTAGAACAACGAGTAGCAAACACTACTCGGGAGTACTCTAGTACTCGGGTTACTCGCCCAGCACTTGTGTGTACATGTACTTCACAGTGTCAAACTTCACAGAGTTTGTGCGAAACCATTTGTTTATTCTACACAACTACCCATGTCTGTCATCACACGAGGGGCAAGTGCGAGTAAGCTCGGGGAAGGCATTCGAACGCCCTCGACGTGGTAAACGTGGTGAGATTTCTACAATTTGCTACGCCTCTGCATTGGGAATTGTACCCCTTCAACACTCTTCCCTATAAACCCCGCAGCCGAGAGGCTCGAGGGGTATTGTTAATGTTGATATATTTCCAATTTGCCTCTATTCATCTGCCAAACTATGACATTGGTAGCCACTTCTCCTATCCAATTTAAATTATTTAAATTAAAAGTTAAATCATTAATATGAAATTTAAATTAAATCATAGATGCAATCCCTCTGGAAGACTTTTTTCATAATGCCTGAAGCAACTACTTACATATTTCCTGGGTAAGTTCAACGCAAGAAAGCAGATTGGAGTGGGTTCAAAATCTTCGCTTTGCAAACTTGGAAAAGCTACACTTTTGGAGGTGTCATCTGTCGCGCTTTAAAATGCACATAAACATGAAATCTGTTTTGGTTTTTTATACAGCCTGGCTTTTGTAACCTTTCTTTTTCATTGTCTGAGAAGTTACTAAGTAATTTGTAAAGTTGGTTATGGGATCCGATCCCATAATCTGGAACCGGTTCCTGACGTCAGCAGTCGGTACTCGGGTAGCCGGTCCCGATGCACACCCCTACAAATACCCTGTGAAGTTAACTAACATTTCAGAAGAAAACTAACATTGCAGGTGGTTTCAAAATACAATTTTGTACAAGACCCCAAATACAGGCATGCAACTTTTCCTTGGATCCGCTGATTTCCTCATTTTTGACTTCTCATTAATGGCATTGCAAATTGAAAAATACTATTATAAGATGGAATTTTTGCGCCAGGGCGATATTAGCTCGGTGGTCGAGTGGTAAGACATCTGCACTAGAAAGCAGGAGGTCGTGGGTTCGAGTCTTCCCGAGTGATTTTTCCAACTTTCACTCGGGAGGTAACACACTGAGTATACAGTTTTTAAACGTCGGTGAAGGGTAAAACCTAATTTGATTTATATCGCCCCGGTGCAAAAATTCCATCTTATAATAGTTTATGCGGTATCCGCTGCTATGTACATCAGATTCGAACCGGCCAACCGATCCCGTTAGCTCGGTGGTCGTGTGGTAAGACATCTGCACTAGAAAGCAGGAGGTCGTGGGTTCGAGTCCCACCCGAGTGATTTTTCCAACTTTCACTCGGGAGGTAACACACTGAGTATACAGTGTTTAAATGTCGGTGAAGGGCAAAACCTAATTTGATGAAAAATACTGCACAAAGTCATGTGTGCTTTGGAGTTGCCTCGTGTTTTCTAAATTCCCAGTTGCATGCCTGCAAATACTTTTTCACGGTTTTCTCAAAATGTATAGTATCCACTGAGCTGAAACTTTAACAGGTTAGTTGTTATGCACCCTGCTTAAGTTTTTAAGTTATTATGTTGCTTCAAACGAAGAAAAAAAAGCACAAAAAGAAAAAGAAAATGGCAGACATGGCCTAAAACTTCGAGTCAGTGTGCATTGTTACCTATGCATGTATTTGCAGTGCTATTCATGGCTTGCCATATAAAAAAAATAGTAAAAGCAATACTAATAGCTAGTGTAGCTTCATCAGAGGGCAACTGGGTCATTCCATATTAAAATAGGGGTACCAAAGTGTGACATTGTTATATATGTTTGGATGCAAAATATTTTCTTTAACCTTTACAGTTTAAATTTGTAGGACTGGTTGATCTTAGTACTTTAAACATGCGTTTTTCATTTTCGGACTTGATTTTCTTCTTACATGATGAAAAACATGGTTTACTGTGTAACAGGGACTCGAAAGATGGTGTCCCTGTTACAATTGAACTTGATGACTTATTTGTGCCATATTTCTGTTGGTTTTCATTGAAAATGTCTAAAATTCTGATATTATGTAAAGCAGTAAAGATACTTGTGTCTGTTATAAACATTCGAATTTTCAATGACAGGCTTAAAGCCAGAGTCCATCATTTGCAGCTATCCAAAAAGTAACTGACATAATTATTGTTCACAAACATACTTGGTTGGAAGATAGTAAGGGCACTAAACTCCCTGTGAAATTATTCTTTCTGGCAAGCTGTCATTTTGAAGAAATCAATGAAAGAAGGCCTTTCCAACGGTGCGTCTTAAGAAGCACCGTTGGAAATTTCCGTTAGTAGTTAGTTTTTTTTATTCGGCGAAGCACGCAAGCATTGGCACTAGGCACATGCGCGCCCGGTTGCTATAATTCGTCGGATCAGTGCACAACATCGCGTAGCTGCAATCGGCTCAGTGAGAACGTGTCTCGGACGCTGAATTCAGGTCCAATTCAAAACGTGATTCAGCAACTTTTGGTTCGAAATCGAGATCCCAGAATGTTGTTTTTCTCGAAATATACAGCTAAGGCTGAGCTGAAACTTCATCAGGTTAGTTGTTCAGCACCCTTCTTTAGATATTGAGCTCTTTTGATGCTTCAAACGAACATGCACAAATTACAAATGATGGACTATACCTTTAAGAAATATAGCACAAATAAGTTGCAAGTTTCACAGGGGACACCATGGTGTCCCCCCCCCCCCCTTCCAAACGATGGTCTTTTCCAAATTCATTTATGACCGCCTGTGTGAGTGCAACTTCACTGGAAGTCACTTTCACTCCATGAACGCTGAGAACACAAAGGTTGCTGAGGCGGTCGTTCTCCATTGTTGACCTCAACCATGTCTTCACCCTTCTCAGTGTCCTGAATGACCGTTCCATGGTGCGTGTTGTCGCAGGCAATGTAGTATACAAATACAGCATGGTTTGAGGGGAAGTAGTGGGAATTACTGGTCCCTAGGTGTAGGTCAGCTTTGCGTCGGGAGGTATAGTCAAGCTGACCTACACCGAGGGATCAGTAATTCCCACTACTTTCCAGAAATAAGCCATGCTGTTTTTGTTTTACTACACCTCATAAATATTAAGTAGCCTCATTGTCTTTTTAGTGGCCTCACTGCCTTGTCGATAACGGCCTTCGTAGATTTTGAATCTTTTTCAGTACAACTTCTACAAGATATTCAAGTTCTTCGACAGTCAATGAAAAAGTCTGGTGCCACCA